AAAACCAATTATAATTGACATTTAATAACTATTCAGAAGTGAGGAAAAATTCTGAAACATATTTTCTTAAAGCATTTGCAAAGGTAGATATTTTTTATGACAAGATTTGAAAATTCTGTATATATCTATGCAATATATTCAAAAATATCCTTTACCTCTAAATCATTGAAAAATAGATGAGAATCGGCCAGGTTGAAGATCATTTCCTCCATTCGCACCCCTAGTGACACAGAGGAATGATATTCCTGCAAAGAAAATAAACACATACATGAGACAATATCTGATGGAGATAATCCTATTAGGGCCACTAACTGCCTCTTTAGAAGCTGCTTGTAGCTTTAATTATCTTACATTAAGACTTGTTCAGTTATCAGAAGATTGATGTTAGAGAGTTCTTCCACATGTCACAGATGATTGGATCCAAAGCCAAACTAGTTTAACCTGTCAGTTCATAGAAATCCCAGTCATACTCAAAGGGTCAACTTTCTATTCGGTAAACCACAAGTCTCCAAAGAATTACTATGGTTACCCATTGTTTTGCATTTTTTTTAACTTTCAAAAATTTCTGACAATTAATTATCTATAACAACAGGGGGGGGAAACATCCATTACAAAAAGAGAGTTACGGAAAGCCAAGGAATCTATTATTTTTTCTTTTGCTTTGACAGATTCTCGTTATAATATGAGGACTCCTAGATTTCAATTATCTGGGAAGCCCCTGGGCTTTCCTGTCAAATTTAGCCAGAGTTACTTCTGTGGGTCTGTGTGAAATCCTCCTTAATTATCAATTACAAGTTGCCTTGACAGGTCAGGCTTGAGACCACGGGATTGGCCAGCTTCCATTGGACTCCTACTTATCTGCTCACATGTTTTTTAAACATCCACTAATTACTAGTCAAATATTAAGTAACAGGATTTTGAAATCCGGACATCAAACGAAGCTTACAATGAGAATTTCATTGATGTTTTGAGCAAAATCAATCACTCTAATCGGTCAAGAGCAAGCCCTTGAAGACTGTGGTACAATTTTTTTCTTCTTTTTCTGTATGTCAGACCTGTTTCACAGGTATGTGGGAAAGTGTACTTTAAATTAAGCAACAGTCAACGAATAGCCAGATATTTGTTCAGATGTTAAAAGAAACCAAACAACTGAACAGTAATCTGTGTGCATAACTTTGACAAGGACTGACAGACAGTGACGAATATTGAACTCTTGTGTTTTATTTTTCAATCAAAGCATAATACAGGTACACACCCAAGAACAGTGAGTAAACTGGGGGAAAAAAGCTCTTCTCCACAAGACACTGAAAAAAAGCTCTTCTACACAAGACACCGAACTTGTAGACTATCAAACTTCACAATCCAGTACGTGCAATGGTCATACTACGCATCCAATTGGTCAGACTCATTCAGGAAAGTCCTTTTATTTATGGATAGAATGAGCTATATACAATGATTACTATTGGACAAACTGCCAACGACAAATTCCTAATCAAGTTTGGGATAAAAGCTTTTCACCACCAACAATACTAAATGTTATCTTTTGATGTGTAAAAGATTTTATCTGGAGACCATCTATTTTCATTGTGAAGACCAATATTTCTAGGGAAGTGCATTTCGGTAGATTGTTTCTTGTTCAGAATAAAAAGCACTTTCAGGCATTATACAGTTAATGAAAAGAAAACCATCCTGACACTAAATATCAATATGTCCCATGCACAGGATGCACTGCATTGTCTCTATAACAGCTGTCACAAATCATCGAGGGGAAGACATTACTACAGGACTCCGATCTGCGGACCTATTGTACGTCTAATGCACTAGTCAACAGAATATGTCATAAACCATGTATATATATCTCACGATGTGTATTGACCAAAAACAAATTTGTCCCCGCAGAACAATAGCCTTATGACAGGAAGAAATAGGATTTTGATGTCACATGTTACAGAAATCTGCAATTTCATCTGGAAATAGTCCGATAAGCTCTTGAGACATGTTTGAAAACATCCACCTCTCAAAAAACTGTTTTTTCTCACTTATAGAAAACAACTCTTGTCTGATGATTAATGGGATAACTATCTTATTAATTTTGTTCTAGTGTTGCCAGAGTGGAGGGAAAAATCACTTGGTTTTAGAGCTTGAAACACTTTTAAGTGACAGCTAAAAACCCGCTAATACCCTCCAATAACAAGGTATTGGCACTCGGAAAGATTCAGGACAGCTGCTAAAGATCAGGAAAGGCTGCATAAACTTACAGGGAACTCCTGTTTATTTATCAAAGATCAGCAGATACAACACTGCTGCAGCATATGGAACAACGAGAATTCAGCGAGGACAGCCGCCGAAAAGACAAAACATCAGGTTGCCCTTATTTCAGTACCAGCATCTGAAGGAAACTCTCAATGACTGAAAACAAGAGATAATTATGCACACTCTAACGTACATTTTTACTCCCTGAATTTTTTTGTTGTTGGTAGAATTCATAAACCATACTGTCAGATACATATCACTGGAGAATGTCGAGAATATTTCTCCAAGAAAATGATGAATATCAGTAAAAGCGTGGGAAATTGTCATTCAACACATGTTGAAAAAAACGCAGAGAAGAATGGGATCTGGATGTAATAATCCTTGAAGGATTTTTATTTTTATTTTAAAAAAAAAAAAACCCACTCAAACTGATACAGGGGTTTAAATTGTTTTGTTTTTTTTCCCCCCAATCTTTTTTCTGTTCTTTCAAACAATTACTTCATTTATTAAAGTCATGATGTGGTATGACATGAAATCTACAGATTCCTCATTGGAATGTCTACTGGCCAATAAAAAAAAAATTAACTGATTTCATAATTGCTTACTCGTCAGTAAACGGCAGCTATCTAAACGGGGGACTCTGTTGGCATAACAAAATCTTTTTTTTCTTTCTGTAAGCCTCATTTACTTGGATAATCAAGGATATGAATGCTTCCAAGTCAAATAGCTTGTTCTACAAAGGGGAATATTGGAATAAAACAGAAGAGTCTCTGTCCTTTATAACAGATGGTTCAGCAGTGCTGGCTTCATAGCCAAGTTGAAAATCTGCAAACAAAGCACACCGGTTCACTGCGCTTAATTCTACCTAATTTCTAAACAGTCTCTCATGGCAACTAGGTTTAAACAATAAAAACACACATATTAAGATAATCCTGATTGGCCCAATCAAGTACAAATCATTTGTAAATAATTTTTCTCCCAACCGCTTTCAGGATTAGTATTTCTGTTTTGAAATAGTTCCTATGATAAAACTATTTTTTGGAAGTAACATTTTTGGGCTCTAGAGACAAAGCATATATCTACAAACAGACTGCATTTTATCATGTTTCATATGAAGCCTAGGTAATTGTCTAATAATTTAACAACAATGTACATACCTTTCCATATCTTTGTGCATATGTTCCTGTGAGCAGTGAATGAAATATGATGATAGTCTCATCTAAATCCCACACAAACACACGTTCTAAATCTGACTCTGGTCCCGGGGAAGCTGTCGTTCGGCCACTTCGACTTGCTGTGCTTCTATTGCGATTGCTGCGTTCTGTTAAAAAATGATAAAAATATTTATTTATTCAATAAATTTATTAAATATTTTAATAAATTTATTAAAATATTTTGATGAGACGAATCAAAATTTAGTTATTTTGCAATATTTTTATATCCAAAATTTACTTTAAATATCTAATTTTCACATTTACTGTATATCTATCTACATTTTGAAATTTTAAACTGCAGTTTTAAAGTTCCATGGTCAATACCATTTCCTATTTGACACAAAGTTTAAATATGCATAAGAATCATAACACGACCTTTTGAAGCAATTTTTTTCATACTGATAATCAAGCAGGTGCTCTATGCTAATTAATCCAAATTTTCTAAGAAAATTCTATAAATTTGATAATAACATCCCTTAACTCTAATATGATTGTGACTTACTAGAGGATGTGCTGTCTCTCATACCAGGGGGTGAGGGTGAGGGATTTATGCTAGGGAACGTCTCTGAAAGAAGAAAAATCAGAACATGCAATGACCTAGTCTAAGGTAACACTAGCACTATATAAATGTAAGAATTTCATGACTTAAACAGATATTTCATGTTAGCTTTGCCAGTCATCATAGACACATTTTCACACCCACTGTACGGGAAAAAAAAACAAAAAAAACGAAACAATAAATTGAATCTGTTACTGTTTGGTATTTTGATTGCAAGCATGATGAAACTGTGAGCATTACGTTAGATCTTGGTATTCTGCCTCTGCAAGAAACCAGAGACAGGCAGGCAAGATAAAAGCTTTTAACATTCCAAATGCAGGTGATGAAATCTGCATAATTTCAAAATTTGTTACACTATAAATCCTTCCACAAAATGAGCCACTTACAAGACAAGACAGATAAACAGAGCATTTGCAGGACCACAAAAGACAAAAGGATGTCAACAACAAATCACAATGCTGTTACAACAGCATTTTAGAACATGAACTTATTTTTTTTTTTTTTGCTGGGATGCAGAATTCATTAAAATCTTTGTCATCTGCACTTAAGTTATAAATTTGAAAACTGCCAGTTCCGAGACATCGCAAAAAATCTACAGGCTGGGCACAATGTAAACAATGAAGTGTGAGGGCTAATCACAATGGAAGGCGAGGAAGAATTAAAGGTCTTACTACAGATAAATCAACTCAACTGACTTCCACCCAGACTTATATGGCTGCTCCAGTACCCGTGGTTACAGGTTACTGTTATTTATGACAGTCCGGTCAGAGGTGGCTACCCCTCACTGCCCTCACACAAAAACCACGGTGGGGGAATTGTTTCACTGCCTGTTTGAAGTCAACATACTGATCGGTGGGTGCTTTATATTGAAACACACACACACACAGTAAAATAACATTCAGATGCAGACAACACTTTGACATAGGGGGACATGTGCCCTTTTTTTAGCATGCCTAGGGAACATCACACCAGATACTCACCAGCCTGGGGGGCTACTTTTGGACTTATATGTCCACTTCCCACAAGACAGGAAGTGACATCAGATTGCTGATTCCCTTCAACAAGAGCACAAAGTTTTGTCACTTTATAACTTTTCCAACAATTTTTTTTTTTTTTAAACTAAGTCATCATTTTCCTTAACCCAAGGTAGGAATAGATATTCATAATGTTTGAATGAAATTCAAAGCTCACATATTCACTCTAAATAATTATCACTGTGAAATCTTTAGCATGCTAGTGCTATTCTGAAACACAGCAACAAATATTCTCTAAATTTACACATTTCATTATCAAAAATTTCATCAGTTAAAAACCCGTAACATTAAGAATGGAGTATCATTTATCTAAATCTCAACAGATTGAATTTGCTTAAAATACTGATACAACAAAAAATAATAATTCGGATATCATTCTCCTAAAGAGTCATAAATCAAACGATATGCCACAATATTAAAAAAGAAACTGGAATTAATTCACACCTGCTGATGCTAAAATCTGTCTTATCACCTAGATTTATCTACTAAACACACATCTATAATGATGTTTAATTTAAGTTTCACACAGAACGTTAAAGCCTGGTCCTACGGTCACATTCATCATGGCTGACAATAGCTTGGGGACTCGACAGGCTACAGATTGGTACTATTGTCAGGGTCCCGTCACCTGTGAGTCTATTGTCTGCTGACAAAACAAGGACATGTCGGGACCCTCACTTGACGATTCTACCTGATTTACCCCAGCTATAACGTCAAGGTACACCCAGGAACAGGACTGTGGGTATCTGCCCAGTCTTTAATTTGTATTTCAGATTAGCGCATTTTTGCTTACTTCATATAATGTGTATTTCAATTTTGTAAAGAGTAGGTGTGGAAGAGGATGTCAGAAGTTTTCTGGTAGAAAAGATGTTGACACACTAGTAAAGCAAGCTTTTACATTGTTATTTAGAGTCTATTGGACAGCCTAGTCTTTCTTTAAATTTTAAAATTATCTCTTTTTTTCCATTTCTTTTCAAAATTCTTTCTTAGTATACATGCACCACTGAGGAACAAGAATAAATAAATCACATTTTTTTTTTAAGGTTTAATCTGGTAAACCCTTAAAAAATACCCAAGTTATGCACACCTAATATTTTGTGAACCTTCAGCATTAATTATCTTAATTCCAGCAGAAACAAAATGTGTTGTATAGATTTCAACCTAAAGGATTACTAATGACCATCTCCAAGTCACTGAAATTATTTCTACTTATTGGAGAAAAGACAATGGCTTAATTCTTTTTTTTGTTCATGACTTGTTCAGAAATTTTGAGAACCAACATCCAGTGTTTTAAGAATTCAAAATCCAGTGCAGATCATCAGAATTGTAAATCCAGTGGGAACCATTGATATAACATAAAATTAAGACTGACTGTTAAAATATTTAGAATTCCCTCTCCTAGCTTTTAACATAAATCAACAAGATTCAATTATTGGTCAATAAAACATGAACAAACAATATTTACAGCAAAAATTTGCCATTCATTTTCCAAACAATAAACTTGTCATCAGATTGGTGAAATAATAACAGCAGTTTTTCAATCAATAGTGTGGCCATCTACTTCTAATAAATAATTTGTATTTTATTCCATTTTCAGATAAAGGCAAATCATGAAAGACTCCAGAAATAAAAAAAAAAAGAATCGACCTTACAAGGACATCTAGAGTTAAGATAAACAGAGTTATGATACACATCTAACAAAAATTCATGAGTTGACAATGAAAGCCTCCATATTCCACGTTTGTCCCAGTGGATTGTGTGGAGAAGTGCGGATCAATTATTGCTTTCCCCCCTATACGTAATCCTAGTTTCTAATTACAGTTGATGCAATGCAACCGTTGTTATAAATGGTGTTCATAAAAATTTGAAAGAAATGGACTCATTTTAATGAATTTCTGAGAAACAGTCACATGGCTCAATTAATTCAAAATGTCGTAATTATCAATGAACACTTGATAACTTGACAGTGTGTCCCATAATTTCAAATCAAGAATTTGTAACAGAAATGTACATTGGGATGGTGTGTATATCTTAATGAAAAACCACTTTCTTGAACTAAATAAACACCTTTCCTTACGAGGGAGTTTTTAAGTATTAGACTTTGTCACAGTATAAGTAGGGAACTACATTAATGCATGCAGTCCAGTTTAATATGTGTGTCAGGATTTTTATGCCTATCCATGTGGCATACTCACCAGTTGCAGTGTGTGGCACATCCACTAACTGGTAGGTCTGTGTGGTGGGTGGTACCACTGTGGAATTGGTTGGGACTCCAGAATAAAAATAACCAGGGTATCCTGGATAGTTATATTCCAAAGGCTACAAGAAGAACAAAAAAATGACAAACTGAAACTTAATAATCAAGAAGTAATTGGAAGGAGAAGGGGTTTAATGCTTAAAATTAATTTTTATCCTTTTTAACCTTGAATCTTTGGGTACATTTTTTGTCAAAAGTTTAGCATTAAGATTATGTCATATTCATATTTTACACAATGCCGTCGTTTTTTTGCCAATTCATGATAAAACTGATAAATTTTCAGATTCATTTAACAGCAATCCATAGTATTTAAAAATTCACTCCTATCAATGAAGTGTTAGTGCAGATTTTCAATTAATTCAGAGATTTAATGCATATTTTCTAATTTACATACTCTGGAAGAAGATTTATGCGCACAGGGGCCGATTTGATAAAGGGCAAATTGAAAAATACTTGGATTGTGTGAATTTTAGGCTCCTTAAATATGGGTTTTATCTATTAACAATGTCAATAAAATTTACTGGAGAATAGCTTTTTCATAATGTAAAATAAACACTGATGAAAATAGAATGGAGAGATTTGAGAGATAAAATTCAGTCACATTGATATTATGCTAAACCTAAAACTTGGCATTTGACAACTTATATGTTTTTGCATAAAATTTATTGTGTTTGAATTTACGTATCTCGTTTTATGATTATCTGGAATCATGAACATCACCATTATATTCATCAGAGCTGACACTAAAAAACCCACTGTACAATGGACACAGGTGTGATTTGCATTTTAATGCCATACCCATGAAATTGTCACCTTAATTTATGTCTTTTTTCACTATTTCATCCCAAGCCCAGCCAATCCAAACACAGCGTTTTTGTAATCCTCATAAAATTTATAAGGAATTTCAAATCAGATAAAACTACTTTAAATTTGGAAATTATTCATTAAAGATGCCGTCGTAGACTAAAGCTTTGACAGTGGCTACATCCTTCATGACACAGTGATTTTTTTTCCCTCTAAACCATTTTTGAAAATCAAATTAAGAAAAACAAATTAATTTATAATTCAGAAGGGTCGATTTTTCTTAACTGCTAGATAGTTAGGTAAAAAAAAAAGGTTTTCTTTTCTCTGTGGATTTTGATGTTAATCACATTGAACCTAAGAAGAATGTTTGAAAAATGGTGTGAATATTTCAACAATCAGAAATGTGATTCCTTTTACTTGAGGGGGTATGAGCTACTGGTACCCGAGGATTCCCAATCTTCCAAATGTCAAGCTCAATCAATCCAATTTCTAAACACTCCGGTAGAAAAGACAGACACTATTATTTATTTTCAAACAAATGGTGCCTTCTAAATCCAAGTATGAGAGAATTTTAATTATTTTTGCCCTGTATTAATTTTTAGTTATTGGCAAAAAAAAAGAGAGAGAGATTATTTGTCTTAAAATATATTGTTTTTAAAATTCAAATTATATTGCAATGTGGGTTTCTCAAGTCTTGTACAAAATTCAATTAAGTCCTTTTCAGTTTAGTGATTTTGTTGCTGCAGTAAAGTTCCCTATATACTTCAAAATAGTAATTTTTCTTCCTAGACTACTTAAAATATGCCTAGAAGCAGTCACCATAATTATTACAGATTGATTTGATATAATTAGTCTTATCTTATTGCTTCTGAGCAATGTAATGACTTTCCAAAATTAATTTTTCCTACAATTCATCTCTGAAGCCTACAAGACATACTCTGTTTTATTTGCAATAATCAAAATACTGCCAGAGTTTTCTCAAGCAATATTTACAATTTTATTTTCAGTTTCATCAAAAACTGCAAGACTTGTTCTTTGCTTTTCTAGAATGAAAGAAATCTGTGCATTTTGTAACACGTGGACTCAAAATATTATTACATCTCTCTGTTTTAATTTTTCCACCATTCTCTTCATTCTTTGCATAGTAAATATTGATTAAATCTATTTTGCATCAACACACTTGTTACAACTTGTTGGATAGAATACTATTATTTCATGTAATAAAAATCTCTCATTGGCATTCTATGTCATAGATGTTAACATATGGCACACTACATGAAACAGCTTAGTGAAATAAAAAACTATTTTATATTTCTCTAACAGCATTTCACACCCACTAGAAAATGGCAAACTGATACGGACATTTCTGTATCTTTCGTTCACAGAAATAGATATGTTGTATATAAAAGTTACCACTGCAAAGAGGTTTTTCAATGACAACCTTTTTTAACTTAAAAAATGTAACATTTTATGTTTATGTTTTGCAATGTATCCATAATATGTGACAGTTTTTTATGCAGAAAAAGATGTAAAAAACAGAAGCAACTTTTTGTTATTGTTGACAGATTGGCTAATATAATGGTGATATATTTATCTTATTCAAGATTGATGCTTTGAGGGTTTTTTTCTCTCTTAGAAATGATTTTATTGATAATATGAAAGATTGTACCTTTAGTGCATAACAAATTAATATCAACATACTTCTACAATTAAACAAGATGAATATTCAAAGACATCAAAATCATCATTACAACTTTGTCTATGAGCAAGAAACATGAGCCCTTACCCTAAAAACCTGAATAAACATTACTTTCCAGATTTACTTTAACATCTGACTTTTATAGACAGTTTTTTTGTATTTATTTCTTAACGAGTTTCATTTTTTTTTGTTATACATCTGAGAGAGAAAAAAAAATCCAGGATTACCTGTTGCGCTGAGGAATTGGATGATGGGTTACTGGCAGGATTAGCACTAGGAAAGGGCACTTGTGTGGAGTCTGCAAAAAACAATCAAATTAAAAAAGATTAGTTACACCATGTTGAATGAAAATGACTAGGAAAAAAATAGATTTAAAATTTTTTTTTTTCAGAAATTTTTATCATTAATTGTCAAGTTCCTTGAAAGTGTTTTTATTCATTCAAAAGTGACTTGAATTTATATTTATATGGAGGTATTTATGGTAATTGATAAAGGAAATAAAACTTTGTTGTTAGGAGAAAAAATATCCTGACGCAATGTTCAACTCCGTTAATATTCATGAAAATTTTTTTCTCCAGTGTTGTCTATTTCTTCGTGACATGTGATAAATGGGTACAGCTGTACTTACACATGTACTGGGCCTGACTGTAGCTTGAGGAAGGATAAAAACTGGTGGTACCCTGTCCCACTTGTGGTTTCTTCACTACAGAAAAAAAAATAAATAAATAAGTAAAAAAAAACCCCACATTTAGGGTGTGTTGTCACTTGATTGGCATTAACATATTTTTATAGACTGTGATGTAGATCTGCCCCCATAAACCTGTGTCTGGTCCGTTAACACAGCCCAGAGACAGAGTCCGATGAATATCTCTTCTATGTTAGGCATGCAAATTAAGTGATAACATCTTATAGCACCATTTCATGCTTTTCTGATTTCCAATAATCCAATAATTTCCAAGTTAACTGATAGCACATCATTAATAAAGCAAAGATTTACAATATGTTGCCCTTTCAATGTATAAAATGCATGCAAAATGCTTGCTGTCAATAAATTTCTCATAGACTACACATGGTTTTCATCAGGAGCAGAAAATCAGATGGGGGAGAAATGTAAGTTAAAGAAACTTATAAATCAATTTAAAGTCAATCAAATCTACAGATCCTGCCCCATCAATAACACTGTTTATTGTTTATGAGATTATTTGGACAGTGAAGCACAACTGGATAGGTAATAAAACAAGCACCTGCTAGAGAGAGAAAGAGAGAGAAAAATAATTTTTTAATTGCTTGTAACCCCCCCCTTTTTTTTTAATAATCAAAAATACATTTTGTTTACTTTAATACTGTACATTACCAATTTTTCACATCACTTTTTATTTATTTTTTTTTTTTTTTTACGAGATAGTTATTTGGCATTAATAAGCGAGAAATTTTTTAAAGAATTTTTTATCAATACAAGTGTTCTTGAGAACGAAATTTTTTTGCAAGCAGAAGGTCTCCCATAAGTACACAAAAATAAAGTTCTCGTTGACAAAAAAATGATTTACGGTAATTCATTTCCTTATCAACTTGGGTGCACTGGGCTGACATTAAGATGAAAAGTACAGGTGACTTACAATCCTGAGGGTTGTACATGAGGGGATATCCCCCCTGCTGCTGGTAACTGAAGCCCGGTTGGAGGCCGGAGAACTGAGAGTATGCTGTGTTCATGTCGGAGGCTATGGTAGCTGATGTCCTAGAGACTGCAGCACTAGGGGAACTGTTGCTATAACAACAGATGTTAATTATGATTAATTAAGATGTTATACATTTTAAGGTTTACACTTAAATCAACTTTTACCAAAAAAAAAAAAGAAAAACTCATTCTAATTATTTAGTTGTTTAAGAACCCCAAGTTTTTATGGATTAAATATTAAAACTTTATCTTTTTTTTAATTTGCTATCTTCTTTCGATGTGTTTTATCTTCATTAATTTGTTTTGTTACCTATTATAGAATGATGTTAGTGTTGTGTCCAGCCCAACTTCACTGTTGGATCCTGCAAAGTGAAACAGAAACAATCAATTCAAACTAATCTCTATGGTTACAATACAGTATAGCTGTTCTGTATCAGGGTAATTACATGTGAAAACTCCCCACTGCCTGCTCTACGTGAACTTGTCAAGCCCTACACTCGTCAGGCCAACAGTTCTAACTTTTTCCACCTAAAGTTTTCACTCACAATAAAAAGCTCCATTCTTTTTGGCTTAAATGACCATGATGAACTTGTACATATGCCATTGAGAGTGGACCATTACCTGTTAAGTTGTCCAGCGAATCTGCGACGGAGAAATCGACTGGGCTCGTGTCACAATTGGGTTCACTTTTCACTGTGTGTAGAAAATAAAAGTAAAGATATAATCTTTATAGATACAAACAATGATCCCCATACCCAGATAAACCTCATTAAGTTTTCATAATTGATAGGAAATGAGGCATTTGAATGCGACACATTCCATTATAGGTGGGAATGAATTTAATGCATCACATTAGAAACAGCTATAAGTTGTATGGTAACTACCATTAAATCTGTGAAATGTGACCACACACTAGCCATTTACACATCCACCTGTATTTATGTATGTGTCAAAAAAATTCAAATACTGATGTCTATAATTCCTAAAGGTTTTTATTCAACACCAGCTAAGTTATTTTCTCCTTAAATATCATTTCTGAGAGATATTTTTGTTTTTTGTTTTACAAATTTCAAACAAAAAAATTAAGCTATCAAAGTTGATTATGATGTTTTCAACAAGGAATAAAATATGCTTTTTTTTTTTTAATTCCACCATCAGAATTGAATTTGATGTTTTCAAGAAACAATAAAACTTTTATTTTAATTAAAGTTACTGAATTTCTACATTTTATTTTATTTTTTGTTGTTGATTTTTTTACTATTTATTGTAAAAAAGAGCTTTGTTTTACCTGCTGGAGGAGAGCCAGCTGACATTACCCAACTCTCACTACTGCTGAAGGTACTGCCATCTGGTGGTGAAGTGAGGGACTCAATACCACCTTCAAAAAAATTCACAAAAGAACTGTCACCAGTGTACATATCTAAAGGAAAAAAAGTGTTTGAAAGAGGAGTTTCACCAAACTTGGACTTCCCTTACATCTCAAAGGGAACAAACACCTCTGTGACAACCTAAGTGTGATGGCCATGGATTTTTGAGTTCTGTCAGAGTTGAATGTCTCTGTATGATGTAAAAATGAAGCAGGGAACAAAAGAATTCTGCAACATTGGGTGTTGGAATATCAAACTTGCAACACATTAGCAGACTGGACTCTGGTTACTTGTGGTCACCTACTGATATACATGATGCTGTCATGGTTGTTGGTTATCAATATCAGGTCCTTGTGGTGAATATGGGTTTGCAACAGCATTATCTAAGGACCAGGGTTTCAAGTTCAAAATGGTGGAGAGGACAAAACTAAGTTTATTGGTGATCAAGAAAGGCAATGGATAAGGCAAGCCCTAAATCCATTCCAATCCAATGCAATAGCTACCATTACTGATGCCTTCCAACAGACTACCCTGCTGATGACAAACCGAGTTCCTGGGCTTATTACTGGACGTTTTTTACTCTATACTTGATAAAAATAGATGATTACTAAGGCTAACAATTAGAATTTATTCCCCAGTCACCAACTATGGACTGTAAAAAAATTACCTGTCATGTCCAACAAATAAAGCTATATATCCCACTGCTATTGATTGCCTTGTCATCAAAAGGGATGTTGCAATCTGCTTCAAATTAATTAAACTTTTGCTTTGGTAATAAGCCAGTAAGCAACCAGACACTGTGACTTACAGTGCCTAGAGCTAATAAATTAAGATTTAACATTGCATGGCAAGTTCCCCTTACGTCAGAGCTGGCAGAAAATAAAGATGACCTGCCCTGTATACGTCTTCAGTCCCCTACAATGGACCTCAAAAAAAGAAAAAAAAAACTAGGGAACCTACAATCAGCCCAAGTTTGCTGAGTGAATACAGTTGAGTAGGAGCTTCTACTTTGTTCTGGGTGGAAATAGGGATGATTAGTATTACAGCTAATCAATTTTTTAAACTATTACAAAATGTCGATATGGAGCTGGGGATAGTGTGCCGGGCGGCCATTGTTTCCACGACAATGTGATGTAGTGTTATGGCAATTGTCAGCTATTGGAAGGCCTCACTTGTGGATGAAACAGTAAACAACAAGCTTTTATTAAAAAGCATTTCATCCCCATTAGTTTGATCATTTACATAATCTCATAGAAGAATGGAACAAAAATAAATTACGTATGACAACTCGATGAGTGTATGCCCAAGACAACACCATATAAGAGATGACAAAATACAAAATCCTATTAATTAGTCTTGCAATTTAATAAACAATAACTTTAAAGATTCTTATAACTTCTATTACTTATGATGTGGAAACTGTTACTTATATTGAGATTGTTGTGACTGACTAGGCACTTCAGTCTTAAGTAGCCACTTCCCATTGTATGATCATTAGAACTGTGAGGGAGTCAAGTGGGTCCACTAATAACAGCAAAATAGCCACTAAAGAACAGCCTGCTTCATTACAAGCTGTCAAGTGAATGAAAATGATGTCTTCTACAGCCTGAGAAAAATCTGTGAAAATCTACTTACCATCTGAGGTGCCATTGGGGGTTGGGCTTGAGGGAATTCCAACACTGTCTATGGGAATTTCACCAGGTTCTAATGGTGAATTTTTATTTCTGTCTAATGTCACCAAGGGGTCCTCAGTTAAACCTTGCAATTCAAGGACCCTAAAAAAAAATAGAACAGTGTATTAAACACCCCAATCTTTTAACATGCCAAAGAAATGTCCGACTTTTTTTTTTGTATCAAAAACATCTGTGTGAACAGGGATGACCTTATCCGCACTATTAAAAATCGGAATTCACTCTCCTGACCCTGACGGAAATAAATTTTAATCTTTTGCTACAAATGTTCGTTACAGAATAAAAGAATTGATAAATAGTGTGATTAACTTAAAAAAAGAATCAACTCGCTGGTTCAAAACGGTAGAGCACGCAACCCATAATCAATGTCTAAATACTTTACTGGGCCAAATGTGACCAAGTAAACAATCTTCACTGATTTTATCACTAAGAATTTCATGCTTCCATTCCCAACTACCCATGAAACAAAAATTCTTGTGGATACACCATCATTTCTCTTTTTCAAAAATTATCACATAAAGGTACTTTAATTTCTTTTTGTAGTCATTCAAACATGACACAACGTATGTCTTTCTTTTTTCTATGGCTGACAATGAATTTATAAGTATTATCTTGAAACCACAACAATAGATTAATCCACCCATCCACTCCAAACACTCAACCTCAGCGCTAAAGAAAAAAATTATACAAAAAAATCAACTATACAATTACTTTTTTTGTCTATCAAAATAAACACGGATATATTCTACATAACTATAGTATCAAAACTCCATTCAGATATTTCAAATGTATACCTATTTGATATTTTTTATGGTTTACTTTTCTAAGAATAAATCACATGACATGCAAATTGAAATGACCCCAATAACATAAATCAGGAAATTTTTTTTTACACATCTTATACAGAGTTACTTAATTTTTTCCCCTGTAAAAACCATATTAAATTGTACTTTTTTTGTTCCTGGCCTTTGTGTTATTTGTATTGATTTGTCTGGCTGAGGCTGATGTGACAAGTCTATATACAGATTTACTTCACAGCTTAAGTTGGAACAAGCCACATAAAATCACTCAGCTTGCAAATGGACAGTCATAAAACGATTTGCAGATGAACTGTAGCTAATAAAAACAGATCCTTGTCTTTCTCTGTGAAGAAAATAAACATTTTAACTGAGCTGACATGACTTTCCTTTGACTTGGTACTTCATTATGGAGATTATTTAAGACAATCAAAAGATACCCTTGTCAAATCCATTATGTTGGTAAATTTCTCACAATTCTGTACAACATGTCTATGTACTTTTCAAAATAAACCTACTTTTCAGAACAAACCACATGAAAAGATTCAAGGGAAAAAAATGCCTGTGATTTAGGGCAAGTGAACCTTACCTCGTACAAAGATAAAAATAAAAAGCCACACACCTCCAAAATTAAAAAGAATGCAAAAGGTCCTCACATTTATAGCCAACATTTGGTGTGTTGAATGAGAAACACCAAGGGTACTTTAAGACGACACAACATTCCAATATGACAGCAGCTAGAAAAAGTGTTAACATTTAACCAAATACACAGACACACAAAAAAGACCAAACATACTTCTGGCGTCACGACAGCTTACCCCGCAAAAAGTCCAAACACGATAAATACAAGACAAGCCGAATATCCATTAATAGAAATATTTACACAAAACTGATTTCCAAATAGAATTGGGCAACCCCTATCACGGTGGGCCTGAAAGGGAGGGTGGTACAACCCCACACAACTTTTATCAAAATAACTATCACCGCTTATTTCTCATTGTCCTCCAAATTGGTCTTTAAATGCTGACAAGGAGCAATACATGCATTTCAGGATGCAGGGACGGGGAAAATAAACTTTTGGCTTCCTCTGCTTAATTGTATGAGAACGTGTGAAAATGCTGAAGATAAATATTTTGTTATTGAGATGTTAGACTTCACAAGAGGCTGTTCTCTAGTGCTTTATACTATAAAGTTTTCGTTTTTGACCCTCATAGTATAATGGTATAGTGAAGCACTTTGCCTATATATACACACTTTGTTTCAGAATCTTGATAATGGTTATACATTTCACATATTGCAGATAAGAAATTTCTGACTTTATAATTAAATTACATGTTAATTATCAATATTTTCTACGGACTAGCTTTTATTAAAAAATTTTAACCTAAAATATCACCTTTTTTTAAAATTACAATAAAAATAATTATTTCAACCAAAACATATTTGCTGCATTCTAAAGGTTTAGTAAAAATGCTACTTCATGCATAGTGTATGTACTTCTCTAGTTCTTTTCTGGCATCAAGAAAATAATCATCAGAAATGATCATGGCTGCTGGTTGTGTTTAGGTCATGTTCTGGTAGGGGACAGGGATAAACTGACCAGCACTGACCAGTAAGTAATTGACCAGTGGACAGGATGTGTGTGGACACCTTGGCAGATGTCAGCTCTGTGTATACTGGGGATTACACCCCAGTACCTCTCCTACTTATATATACAGTGCTACTGCAGCTACTCCACACCTACTACAAGTGACTAATTATGTCAACAGTGTAATTTATTTCATGTCTGAAGTCAAATATTTGTTTCAAAATGAGAGCTGTATGCTTACATGTTAAAATTTATTGACTATAAATGAATTTGTGAAATAACAGATAAACTAAAAATTTTTAATTCTGTCATCATGTTTATATGAATGTTTCAAGGTTTACTTTTGTGAAAATATTTTTTTTTTCATATCTCAATTAATGCACCTGTAAATTTTGTATGATAATAAATCTTTTTTAATATGTACCATAATTTTCCTAATATTTAAAAATGAACTTATATTGATTCTGTTTTAATTGAATTTGAGATTTTAAAAAAAAAAAACAAAAATTTCAATCATAACCACATTTACTAAAATGCTTTTCTTTGAAAAAAAAAAAAGTTATGAAAATAAGTTACATCTGATGTTCAAAATGTTTAAAACAATACAAAAACCTATTTATTTTAGCATACTGATGTCCAAAATGATTAAAACAATACAAAACCCTATTTATTTGTATTGAGATAATTTGTGTAGACAGTGTTCACCTTTTTTATTTTGTTAATAGTGCATGTGCTTCCTTACATTTAAAACATTTGTTTCTTCTTTGTGAAAAACAGATGAAAATACTGATATTTTCCCTCTAAACTGGAAAACATTTGAATGCCTTTGTTTTAGAACAGCCTAGCAGAAAGAAAACTACAAAAAGCCCCCCATTGTCGTATTTTATGCACATTCATGGTGTCTTTCCGCAAACAAGGTCAAACAGTTTTTTACGAATATGTGGCTTGGGAACAAGGAGGGGGCTTAAATGAGGATACAAAGAAATATCTAGTCCTAGATGTTCCTCCTTATTCTTTTGGCTCCATGATCAATTCTTCTGTTTTACAGAAAAAACTGGAAGAGGGTGTTTGCAATGTAAGATTTGATTTGCGACGCTGATAATTTTCTGAACTATTTACCTGTCTCCTCCCCCTGTTCTTGCTACGGTGACACCAGTTAGAGACTCTTCTGAAGTCTTCCGAGCTCTCTTGGCCTAGAAATTGAACCAGGAATGTTCTGTTAATTTTCAGGAATTTATATAAAACAAAACATGCAAAATAAACCTTTTTTTTTTTCAAATTAAAAATCAAAGGGAATTAAAATATTTGCAGTGTTTATTTATTTTTTTTTATTAAATTTATTTATCTATATTTTTTGGCTATTTCTTCCTGTGTGGCAATGATATACACATAAATGAACAAAATGTTAATTACAAATTTATTATTAAGCATTCCACCTAGTTAATAAAAACAAACATCAAATATTTTTTTTTATGAATCTCTTAAATTTATTACATTACACTTTCCCCAATTAAGAAAACACCCTTGCCACTTTGTGTAATATCTATAGATATAAATCTGCAGCACTTCAGAGAACATCACTAGCATCATGGCCAGATGTAACCACCTCATTAAAACAGACAGAATCCAACAGAACCCTCTCATTAAAATCATATCGCATACAGCACAAAAAAAAAGCACTCAAGCCACTCACCTTCCTACAGGGTGGGGAAGCGGGAGGGGAGATAGAAATAAAGAAACCTAGTCTAGGATTCACACTCCCCAACAACATGGTGGATTTTTTTTCCCCTTTCCCTCTGATGTTTGTAGACACATCAGACAGAACCATATACTAGGTCACACACATGCTTGTAAATTAGGATTGCCAGATCAGCAGCTAAATGGTACTGCATCTTCCCTCTACAGGGAAAAGACAGTGACCACAGAGGGCTACCAGCACGGCAGGAGGTCTCAGAATGAGGTCACCCTAACAGACCTGGCCTTCCCCCCTCCTTCACTGACCAGCATAAATCTTATCTGATGGAAGCTGATGAATTTCGGGGCAAACATCATCATTATTGTGATTATGACAGCAAAAACAAGTTGCATATTTATACTGTGGCTTGTATCAGAGAGGTGGTGAAGAGATTTGGGGGAGAGACAGTGAAATCAGACTCTCCAGGAGGGCATTATAACCACAAGAAAATGACACAAGATTCAGATGGCCAATTAAAGATGTCAACTGTGTGCTAACTAAACTAATTATGTTTGAATCATACTCTCAGTGGGGTACTAAAGAGAAGTCGGAGAGGGCTAAGCAATTTTGAAATCAGATTTAAAAATAAACTAATAATTTAAATAGAAGTTACAATTATAAATAAGTTGGAGTTTAATTTCTAAATTAACCTTGAAGATGGTACATGAAAAAATTATTATAATCTATATTTTAAATAAAAATAATTAATATAAAAATACTTTAAAATAATTTCTAATTATTACTACCATTCAAAAACTGTAAAGTTGAATTTTTAGGCATATGCAGTTAAAGTTTTAATTATTTTTAAAAGAATTATTAAGTGAAATTCTGTCAATTTCAAAATATAAATTGTTGGGTTTATTTTTCAACAAATATACTTAATATTAAGGTTTAAATAATACATTTTTAGCAAGAAATGAATGAGTATGAATTTTTATTCAATAAATGTGAGTAATGAAACAAATCCTAAATCAATACAGATAAACCAATTCCCCACCCCAACAGATTTCCATTCTCTGTTCAAACAAAACAAAATAATTAAGAAGAGGCTACGTGATTGTCTTAAGACTTTAATATCATTATAGGGGTCTTTTATAAACCTGATGATAATTATCAAGATATAATTAAAAGTACCCTGCGTGATATCGCCTCATCAGATAAAACAGATTACGCCAAGTCCAACCACTACGTTAATCTCAGGTGTGACTATCAGTCATTCATTTCCTTCCACATGAAATGACCACATTACACCTGTGTCCGTGGCCTCTGATGAAAGAAGACACTAGCTTGGAGAGTCATTACCCACTTGGTAGGGGGGAGAGGGAGAAACACAGGACTTAAGGTCTTTCCTCATGTAATTTTCTGATTATGTCATTTTTTGTCCACCTGTCCCTCTGTGACAAAGGAAATGTCCAGCAGAGAGATCTATGTTTAAATGTAAGTCACCCAAGGAATTGTACGTCACTTATGAATTACCAGGGAAATAACCTATGAAGCAGTAGCCGTACAAAAAAAATCCCTGATTTAATTAATTTATAAATTATGCAAGTATTTTTTCTTCCTATAGTTTTAAAATATTATTTAATCCAACATAATTTTACTTAATAATTAAAACAAATAATTTTTGACAAGTTTATTAAGTATTGTATCAAATTGATATTAATACAAAGAATACTTTTCTTGGTTTAAAAATACAAAATAATTTTTTTAAATTGATTTCTTGTAGAGAGAAATAAAAATCGGAACCATTAAAATGAAAAAAAAAAATGTAGAGTGAAATAAACTAAATCTTTCACATTTTTCCATGACAATATTCCGACCATACTAGCAATGAGGGTAATAAATATGATGTACGCTGAAGCAACAACAGCAGTATCACTTCTTCATATTACACTTATAACCACATCATTTTATGACCACCAACTTGATACTTACAAATTTTCTATACATTAGTAAAAATTGATTTGTCTTTCCATTGCAAACCAATATGAATTTTATTGTTGAAATAAAATTTGAGCTGACGATTTACGATTTTGTAAGGATTAAAGAGATCGCATGTCTTACCTTGTCCTGGACTAAGATTTTGATGAAGAAAACAATTAAGTTCCAAGTTCCATAATTAACAATATAATAAAAAAAACTGATCCGACAAAAAGAGAATGACAAGGGACCAGCCCTTACAATCCAATAAGTCCAAAAGAAATCAGTCCCCCGTATTTGAAATCGGACATGGAAACTGTGCCTACCTTCTTAATAGTATGGTGTCAGGCTACCGCTTGTTTTCACCCAACAATGAAAGCCAATACCACACCAGTCAAACTCGCTACTTTTTACTGCAATTCAATCCAACTTCGGAAAGCAAACAGATATGGCTTAGGTTGAGGGATAAAGTATGTAAAATCCAGCCCTCCCTAGATCACAAGCTGACCACAGGTAGGTACAAGCTATCTATGTTTATTAATAAGAGCTAATTAGTATTCACCAAAGCCTGAACAATTGCTATCATTGGCTTAAATAAAATGATTTTAGGAATCAGGGGGGCGGAGTTTAAATAAGGCTAACAGACACAGGGAGTTTAACTTACTGTTAGGAATCTGTCATTTACCAGTATCAATAAAGAAGGCGGGCTTATCTCTGGCTATCACCGAGAAATTCATCAAATTTTTAGTGCCTGAAGGGGAAGAAGATCAGCTTCAATAATTGGATAGAAATTCGCCATCAAACTATCAAATACCTTTGTGGAAATTCATTGAAACTTTTACACTGTATTTAAGACAATGATTTTCTCTGAAGCTGGGAGCATCCTTGTAGAGTTGTTTCCTCTTTTGAGTAAATAATGTATAAACTATTATGTAACTCTACTGTTCTTAATCAAACATGATTAAAATAAAAAAAAGTTTACAATTATTACCGGAAAAATCATTCATGCTTAAAATGTTCTCTCAAACAATTTTAATAAAACATAAAACAAATACCAAAAAGGAACAATAAAAGATATTCACCACTTAATTTTTAAAGCAGAAAATTTTATGTATAAAATTCTTGTAAAGACCTTTTTTTAGGTTTTCGCTTTGAAAAAAATTCTTTAAAAGCCCGATGTCAGAGAATTAGCAAATTGAAACACTCTCCCGCACATTGCAAAATACCCAAAACATCATCATGATGTTTTTCCAGGAAACTCCTACTTTTTGTCTGAAAAACAGAACGTCAAGAAACAGTTTAGTAACAAAACACAAATACCTATGATATTTCGGTATGTAACAAACTTATGGAATCTGAGATGGGGACATTTCTCAGATACACAAGAAGGTATAAAAATGTTTTAAAAAAAAACAAAAAACAACAAAAAAAACCAAACAAATATACCAGTGATACTTTCAAGTACTCCTGATATTTCTAAGTAATCGATATTCCATGAATTGAGAAGTTACAAAATACAACAATTCCATACTTTCATTAACATCCAATTTCATGTTACAGGAATTAACCTATAGATATTATAACTGAGACTTTGCTGGACTACTTTCATTTTGAAGTGTACCTGATTACTCTTAAGAATATACACCCAAATTTCATATGGAATATCATATTATAATACAACATAAACATTATATTTCATGCTGATCTGACTTCAAGCCAAATTAATTATACTTTAGAAAACATATACATATTTCAAAAAAAAATTATCATTTTTCTAAACTTTTAAATTGATATTTATATTTGTAACAGAAAAAAATATCAATTAAACAAAAAATATAGAAGGGTTTTACTACATTTTTAAGGGCTACCTACATGTGCTACCTACCAGAGGGAAAGAAACTATATACCCTCTTTTACACTGGAAGAAGCAATAGCAGCAATATTACTGTATGAATTAAAGTTTTTTTTTTCTGTATTTATATTACACTTTGCCACATCAGCTTAGTTATCTAGCCTATCTTAATTAGAGTAGATGACAGATGTAGGATTTACCTGAAGAGATTTTAGCAGTAGATTTCTATTGATTACATTTGCTACAAATATTAATTTAAAAAATTGGATCAAAATGCAATGTTTGCAATGTACTAAATTCATTAAACAGATATAGCATACATAGTTTTCATTTTTTCCCATTTACCAGTATTTATTTTTTCTAAATTTGAGAAATGGGGAAGGAGAAAGCACTCTGTCAATTTGGGGGGGGGGGGGGGGGCAAGAGCACCTTCTTATGTATCTCAGGGACACAATGCCAAATGGGAGGGGGGGAAAGCTCCCTCCTTAACTGGTCTCTTATGTATCTCAGGGTATTCTGAGGAAAAAAAAATCACAACAAGCAGAAAATGCATTTAGTGAAATGCAAACATTTTTACATCTTATAGTTATGTATAGTTATTCAATATTTATAGGCAAGATGAAATTTTCACAAATTTTGGTTATTGTTGGATAATAATTATAATTAATTATAATTATAATTAACCA